CTTTAAATAATTTTCTTGAGCCAGTATGTGCTAAAATGACCCTTTACAGGGTTAATGAAATGTCACTCAGAACCCCACTGCACTCTGTCACCAGGATATCACGCTTGCAACTTCAGAGTGGCAGGCCACCACTTGTGGACGTACCTGTGCTAGAGTCTGCTTCCAGCACATATCCTGCATGTTTAGATCATGAACCCAGCTGATTTGTTTAATTTAGTGATGAATTTCTCTTGTAGACACTAAAGAAGGCTGAGGAGACATTTCAGATGTTCGACTAAAGTGTTAGAAAGATCAACGCACAGCGACCTGATAAGTTTCCCTTTTGGCACTAGGGGGTGCTAAAAGCAAGCCAAAACTGCCCAGTATTTCTTTAAGTTGTACATTTTTGTTTTGCTGAGTGAGGAAATGTGATAGGTGAAATGTTAAAAAGTGCAAAGTGAAGGCAAGGGATGTGGGTTGTAGTGTTATAAGGGGAAAAAAGGCAAAAAATTCAAATTAAACATGACAAAAATGTTTCTTTTTTATGACAATAGGCCGATACCAAGATGAATGCAATGGGGAAAATGGGACAACTGGAGTAAAACGACTGATGATGGTATTGTAAAGGGCTAGCTCTTTAGCTGAAATATCTTTCCACTAAGAAAAAAAAATGTTTGAAACAATCAGCCAGCTTCAATCAACACAAAGTTCATAAGAGATGACTTACAGCTGCATGAATTCTGATGAAACCACAGTTAAAGTAATTAATATATGTCTAACAATACTCTTTGTTACTATAAGGAATACATTTCTTTGCTGAAAGGTGGGACATAAGTCTGAAGCATTAATCCTGTACCGCATTGGGCTGCAACTGTTAGTGACGAAATACTAAAGGAAGATTCCAAAACGTCTTGAGATGTTATCAAGGGTTTTAAATGTCCTCACAAGAGCCACAAGGCCTCACTGATGTGTCTTTGGAATTTTGAGCTTGTTAATTTGTCAAAAATGCTTCTCCAACTTTGGTTCAAGATGACTTTTGGTTTCCCCGAATCAGAAGCACATAAACTGAGTCAACTCTTGCAGGGGTCGACCACCAAATAAAATAAGGGTTGATTTCAAATAGAGTTCACATATTTCACTTCCTCAGCCGAGCAGGCTGGTTGTTATGTAGAACTGCTAATGAGCAAAACTTCTGAATGGAATGCAACCATTTGTGAAACACCTGACATTTCTCCTCTTTCAAGTCAGAATACATGTGATGAAGTAGGTCTTCCATTGCAAGACAACGCCTTAAAACGGTGTGCACTTTACCTTAAATCCCAAGCTATCTCTTTTAGATCCTTAACCTATTTTTATCTATTGGCCTTTAAGCTTTTTTCATGTATTTATTTACTTATTCATTTATGAATACATAGTCAAGTGATGGCATTCCAAATTGTGCCAATATTATATTGTACACACGTACACTCTTCCTACCTTCTAACATTCTGAAGTTTCATGCCTGTTGTGAAGATATTAAAATCTCTTTGCAATTGCGTCAAATTCCACACATGACACAATCATGGATAAAACATTTTGCAGAAGTTTCATTCAAACTAATTTTGTGCGATTGCACGGTTACCAGATATAGCAGCCCAGTGGGATAAAGCTGGTTTTGGTTACATTTGTCATGTCGACGTGGTCGGACTAATTCTCCCAGCAAGCTAAAATCACTATTTATTTAAAGGTTTATGGCTAAAGCCTGGTTTATGCTTCTCCGTCAGCTCCGCAAGGGACAGACACGCACGGATTGACAGAAGCGTTTTGCTCTTTTACTTCTCCGTCTCCTGGGGAGTGTTGCAAAGCCCGGCAGGACAACAGAGGGCGTAGCGCTGTTCTGTGGTATCCTGTCATGTATCGGTCCAAGATAGTGTGTTTATATTGTGTTTTTTGTGTATATAAGAGACTTTTAACACGGACATATTGGTCTCTCATTCTCCCACCGCTTCATGCGCTCCCCACCTCTAAACCCACGTTTCCTGTCATTTCCGTCCACAAATAAAACGCTTGCTGCGCATCTTTTCACTCCTCCAGTCACGGGAGGATGAAACGTTCATATTTTTAGAGTTTTTTCGCGAGGTATTCTTCAAGCTTCTCCATGTCTCCCGCTAGTTATCCTCAGCTCTCTTTGCAGTGGCGGCGCTGTAAACAACAGCGGCGTCCTGACCAATCACAAGCTTGCGTAATCTGTCTCGTTTGACGGATGTTTAAAAAAGTGGGCTCGACTCCGTACGTACTTGCGTGCCCTACGCAAGGACGGATAATGGCGTTGCGTGTCTCCGCACTGACGCAGACGGAGAAGCATAAATCAGGCTTAAAACTGAAGCCACTTGAGGTTAATATGAAGATATGTTTATATTGTTGTAAGTGAAATATTATATAGTTTTGATTCATTGGTCACAAAAGACAAGGTAATAAATATTTCTGATAAAGAAGTTAATGCTAAGACATCTTAATAAGTCAAAGCTAAGTTTTAAGTGTTGAAGAATAATGGAAACCAAATGTTTATTTGATTTTTAAGGTTTTATTGGGTTTGAGTCAGAAAAGGGTAGAATGCTTTCTGGTCAGGGATGAAGTCCTGCCCCAAGTTGGTCTTGTTCACGAGTGACGGAAAGATGGAGTGTGAGATCGATAGGCAGATTGGTGCTGCGTCTGCAGTGATGCGGGCGTTGTACCGGTCTGTTATGGTGAAGAGAGAGCTGAGCCCTGAAAACCAAGCTCTCAATACACCGGTCGGTCTACGTTCCTACCCTCACCTATGACCACGAGCTTTGGGAATGGACTGAAACAATGAGATCCCGATACAAGCGGCTGAAATGAGTTTTCTCCGCAGGGTGTCTGGGTTCTCCCTTAAAGACAGGGTGAGAAGCTCAGTAGGGGAGGGGCTCAGAGTAGACCCGCTGCTCCTCCACATCGAGAGGAGCCAGTTGATTCCCCTGAAGGAGCTTGCCCTAGTGCTTAAGGAGAGGGAAGCCTGGGCCTCTCTGCTTAGTATGTTACCCCCATGACCCGACCCCAGATAAGCAGAGAAAAATGGTTGGATAAATTGATGGATGGATGGATAAATTGATTGATGGATAGATAAATTGATTGATGAATGGATGTATAAATTAATGGATGGATGGATAGATAGATCATTTAAAAATTATTTAAAATATGTTTAAAAGGAGAAAAGAATTCAAATGTAAGGAAAGGGAGAGAGAAAATAAATCGGAAAGAGGGACATCAATTGATCTTGGGAAAGGTAGAATAAAAGCAGAATAAAGAGAGAGGTGATGAAGCTCACACAAAACCAGCTTGAACAAGTGAGTCTTCAGCTGCTTTTTAAAGGAGACCACTGAGTCCACTGATCTCAGGCTCAGGGGGAGAGAGTTCCAGAGTCTGGGGGCCACAGCAGCAAATGATCTGTCACCTTTGACCTTTAGCCTGGTGTTGCACAACCAGTAGGCTTTGATCACTGGACCTCAGGGACCTGCTGGGGGTGTAGGGACTAAGAAGATCACCAATGTAAGATGGTGCTTGTCCATGTAAGGCCCTGTAGACCAGAACCAGGATCTTGAAATGAACCCTGAAGGTGACTGGCAGCCAGTGAAGCTGGAGGAGAAGCGGGGTGATGTGGGTGTGTTTGGAGGACTTGGTCAGAAGCCGAGCACAGGCAATCTGACCCACCTGTAGACGGTTCAGGGAGGTTCTGCTCAGACACGTGAAAAGAGAGTTACAGTAGTCTAACCCCGGCTTTCCACAGGAGCCGTCAGCAGCACATCATAGCTGCTGATAGGAGCCGTTGTGGTCAACAGAACCTTTTCCACTAGAGCCGTCAGCAGCGCGAGTCGGCCGCGTCTCAGGAGCAGCATGTCGCGGCCTTTACGCGCCGGTTCTATTTTCTACGCACAACGCCTCTGAAACGGGTCAAGTTTGACATTTTTGGGGAAGGAAAGACAGGAAATCGGACGCGGAAATGGAGAGAAGCACCCAAGATTTTCAGAATAAAGAACGTACTGCCTTCCGGTTGCTTTACTTTTAAAAAACGTTACTAACTGTGCGGCCCCGTGAGAAGTTATCACCTAGCTAGCGGTCTCCTTTGTTTTTCAGGTCCGTATTGGCGATTATAAAACGGACAGAACATAAAACACAAACCATGTTGTAGTTTTCTCCTGCTTGTTGTTGTGTTTACTGACGACGTCACTCGTTTGACTTCGTGCTCTGTCGGTGACAGCTGCTCCCCTGCTGCTTCGCCTCTCATGGGAAGGGCCAAGCAGCAGCTTACGCGAGCAAGACATGCTGCTGCAGTAACGTGCTGCTGACGGATCCTGTGGAAACTGCCGGGGTAAGCGTGAGGAGATGAAGGTGTGGATAAGAGTCTCAAGTTCAGAGCGGGACAGAATGGGACTCAGATGTCTTTTAAAACTAAAACTGCTCATAAAGTTTATTTGTGATTTTTATTTTTACCTTTTAAATTTTACTTTGATATTAATTAATAAATCTAACTAAGCATTTATGTAAAGCACGATGACTGTCTTGATTTTATTTGTATAAATTGTGTCTCAAACTCTTTTAGACTGACAGAGTTTTTATGAACTCCATTGTTATTCAAATAATGCCAATAGGGACATTTATTTTCTAGTTTGGGTTAGAAGTTTAACTCATTACATGTTTTTTCAGCATCTAGACTTCATTTATTGGGATTATTTGCATCTGTTGTCTATTGTTTGTCATTGCTTGATAATTTTAAACTCCTTTCTGCTGCCCACAATGGTTTTTGTATCTCACACATTCTTAGCCCATCCTGTGTTAGCCATTAGCCACAATCGCTGCTAATATCTGCAGTCTTCCATACTTGGTGTGTATCTTTTCTGAGGTGTTCATCACCATTGCAACATGGCTGCTCATTCGCTTTCCCTTCCATTAATATCGCAACCTTCCCCACTGAATCGAACATATCCATTTACCCCGCCTGATGACTTTCTAGAGCCCCATATCAGTCCCTCCTTTGTTTTTCTCTTTCTTAGTTCCCCCCAGCCTGACAGTCCCTCGGGGCAAGTCCCCCCTGGTGGCCCGCGAGGGTGAAACAGTGGAGCTGGAGTGCCTTGTTTCAGGGAAGCCCAAACCCATCATCCTGTGGTCACGTGCAGATAAGGAGGCGCCCATGCCAGACGGCAGCATGCAGATGGAGAGCTACGACGGCGTCCTGCGGATTGTTAATGTCTCCAGGGAGATGACGGGCTCGTACCGCTGCCAGACCAGCCAGTATAACGGGTTCAACGTGAAGCCTCGGGAGGCTGTAGTAGAGCTGATCGTACAATGTGAGTAGACAGACTGTGGGAATGTTCTGTTTGCATCAACATGTAAATGCTTTTTGTCACACAACTTGTCGCAGTCCTCTGGCATGCTTCTACATGCGGTGTGCCATTTGTTATTATGATCTATTTCCTTCATGTGCAGTGTAATTAATCTTTATGGGTTCTTGTCTGCTGTGACCAAAATTGAAAATTCACCCGTGTCTTTTCTTTTCACACCCTTCCAATTTCTTTCTGAAGGCTGTGAAATGACTTCTCTCCCCCGCAGTATGCTCGCTCAGGTCTAAGAGGGAGCTCCACCTCTTACACTAAAGGGAGGACTTTATCCGCCGAGCGTGAAGAGAGCAGAACTAATATTAACAAGAACACAAAGCTCCACACAGTCATGTCCACACCCAGTAGAATTTGTGCGTTTGCTGGCAAGTGTGTGTGATTGCTCATGCCACTGTGTGTGTGTGTGTGTGTGTGTGTGTGTGTGTGTGTGTGTGTGTGTGTGTGTGTGTGTGTGTGTGTGTGTGTGTGTGTGTGTGTGTGTGTGTGTGTGTGTGTGTGTGTGGCCCGGAGGACAGAGGACAGGAGAACGCGCAGCTAATTAATTAAATAATTTGGTTCTGTACCCTTCTTACCTTTATGATGGGTCAGTCCTCCTGCATGCTCAGATCATTCCCTTCCCTTGCAACACATAATCACGTGTGATCCTCAGTCTGTCTGTGCAGTAGTCGTGTTTTCATTAAACACATAAATCATGACATCTTTATTCCACAGATCATTCACTTGATTATTATTGATCAACATCTGTTTCGACTAGCTATAATCACAAATTAAGTACTTTGATTATTGAAAAGCGTTCTTCTTCTCCTTCTGGCTCTTCTCCTGGAATGTAAACAGTCTGAGGAACACCCGACCTTGGCGTTTTCTACACGGGTGTTACTGTGTACAGGGGCAGCTGTGTGGAGCTCAAAATAATGAACTTCATAACGTTACATATATATATATATATATATATATATATATATATATATATATATATATATATATATATATGCCTTGTGTGTGTGTGTGTGTGTGTGTGTGTGTGTGTGTCAGAGAAGACCCAAAGATTGCATGCTGTGTCCTCAGGTCTCAGCCACCCCTCCTCCACCACCACCGCTGCTGCTGCTCATTGAAAAACTCCTTCCCCTCCTTTAATCGCTGACATTCAAAGATGGCTTAAAGGCTAATTAGCGAGCAGCTAATTTATTCCTACTGGTATTCATTCTGTGTGTATTTGTGGACATTTGAAAAGAAGAGTTTTTCAAATGAACACCAGGGATTCGAAGCGGTGTCACTGATTCACAGCACTGGGGATATTTTTCTCTCCTGTGAAGACGGAACGGAAGATGGTGAGGAAGGAAATGAAAGCGATCCATGTTGGGCGCTTACCGTTTTCTGGCAAGTGATTATAGGAACTTGAAGTTTCATTGCTCACATTGTTTTCCTCCTGGCCTACTTGCAGCACTAAATCTGTCCGTTGTCTTTCATTTTAACTTGCAAATGGACACTTTATTAGGTACACCTTGCAAGTTTATATTTCTTCTTTTAAAGAGCAAGTTCACGGAGAAACAGGTTTTTTTATTTTTTTATGCAATCAATCACTCTGAGTTTCACATGCATGCAGAGCATTAAAGTAGTCTTCTATCCCTGTATGCTGCATTAGCTGGTGAAATAAAACAGACAGGAAAACATTTCAGCCAGAAGACGTCACTCGGATCTATGTCACACGGAAAATTTGGCTCTCATCGAGAAAGGCTGGTTTAGCGTCCAGGAGAGAGCAGAGCTAGTGGCTAGTGGAAGCTAACTGTTAGCATTAGCAAGTCTATGACACAGCAAAACTCCTTCAGGCTTGTTTTATTTGTGGAGACAAAACATCAGCAATGCAGAATCAGAGGTGAGATGTTTGAATATCTTGTTATAAAGTAAGATTCCACATCCTGTTTTCTGACACCCACTTCTCTGGCTTGCTTCTGCTTCCTGAAACTGGAGCGCGAGAGCTCTCTTTCCACAGAGATGACTCATGAGTCATTACTTTCTAATAGATACTGTGGCAAATGTGCTGAAACGACAAGTGAATGAGATATTTAACAGAACTTACATAAAATAATGTAAAATACACAATTGCCATGTTTAATGTCCTCATCGCTGGAGATGTTAGACTTAAAGGGACTTTACGGACTTTTGAATTTTTATGCTCGCAATCGCCCCCTCAGGCCAAAAGCATAATGGCAGCTTCAATAGTAGGCTCGTGCACGAGGCGCGCATGCTGTACGTGCACACTCCATAACGAAAATAACAGCTGAGACAGTCCCTTGTGTGTGTGTGTGTGTGTGTGTGTGTGTGTGTGTGTGTGTGTGTGTGTGTGTGTGTGTGTGTGTGTGTGTGGCCCGGAGGACAGGAGAACGCACAGCTAATTAATTAAATAATTTGGTTCTGTACCTTTCTCTTCAGCACAGCCGACAAAGGTTTAAGATGGGTCAGTCCTCCTGCATGCTCAGATCATTCCCTTCCCTTGCTTGAAAAATTGTTCCAAAAGGAAAGTTGAACCCACATCTTTTTTATCTGTTAATTCAATGCCGTTCGGCGAGTCTCAAATAAAAATTTTGGCATCTTAGTGTAAAAAAATATACCATTAATGTAAAAAATAAACTCTAAATGAACTATGTTCACATCCAGAATCGAACCCAGGTCATTTACATGGGAGTCAGACATCTTACAAGGTGAGCTGCACACCGGTAACATTCATAGCATCTGTAACTTTTATATCCTTGATGACAGCTGAAACAACATCAAACCAAAGAACGGTTCGAAGTGAAAATGGCTATTTTGTTGCTAATTTGCAGGAAATATCTAGAAGAAAGTTCTACAGAAAGTAGCTAAGGGTCCTCAGAAATGTAGCTAGCTTTGTCACTAGGCGTTAGGAACAGCGACAAAGTGGCACTGCCTCTCTCTCTGCTGCTAAAGCTACGGATAGCAAATGCTACGGGCGATGCCTGAGCGTGAACGCGCATGAAGCAGCCTGCTCGACCCGAGCATCTCTCTTTTTCTGTGATTTTACAGAAAAACAGGCAATCACAGTAAAAATGCCAGGGCTCATTCTACAGGACCAGGGCATTGCAGGAGAATGTATGAAGAAGAAATGTATTATTTCTATACATGTTTTGACTGTCAAACGTCCATAATGTCCCTTTAAGACACCAGTAACATGTCCTACACCTTCTATTTAAAAGATTTAGTGCCCCAGCCTAACCGATGCTCTGATTCAAGATGAACTTGACACAGCCTCTAAAAACATTTTGATTGAAGAGGAATAAGAACAGCCCCAGTTCTGTTTTCGCTGACATGGATACTTAATTCTCTGCTTTTTTTTTCAGAGTTGTAAAGTACGCTTTACTATGACATTCACGTTTCAGCTTTGCTGTTACCCTCCTTGCAGAGTTGAGGGAATTAATGAAGTTTCGATGTGCTTTGAAGATAACTATGGTGATTTTTTTTTTCAGCTGAATAGATAGTGATTATGTTGTGATTACAGCCAGTATCAAAGGTTAGTGACTATGCTATGCACTAATGCCAGCGCCAAAAAGTAAACAAATGATTTATGCTCAAATATTCCCTTCAATAATTAGCGGCTTTTGCTTGATCTGTTGCTACATGCTAGCGGGGTGTTGTGGTAATGAATGAACAGCCAAATTAAAGAGTCAACAAAATCAATAATCAGTTTTTATTTTATTTTATTTTGGCACAATCCAAAACAGCTGCTGCATGCTTCCTCTTCATGCTACACACTTTTCTTCATGTTATGACATAAAATAGGTGGAATAGATGACACTGCAGCCACCTTCTGCCTCGTCTCCAGCAGGGACCAGTTCACCGCTGCTTGCTGTAGTAGGTCATGATGACCTGCTTCCATTTGGCAAGGAGGAGGGACACACGGGGAACATTTTTCCCTGAACAGCAGGGTAGAAAATTAAAAGAAGCCTCCTGTAAAAGCTTTAGAAAAAAATAGTTTTGTGTTTTTATTTATTTTTTTATCACCAAATTACATGATGCATGATTAAATACTTTTTAAATTATATATTTACATGAGCGGTGGCAGGCGGTAGCTAGGGGTTGCTAAAGCACTGGTAAGATTAAGCAAAGCGGCTTAACAACCCCAACTCTTGACCTTCCCCTCTTCAGCGCTCCCCAGGGTGGGGTGACCAAACATTTTCATAACTTTTCATTCAGTCCCGCATTTTTGACTGTCTCCTGTTTGAGTTTAAATCTGGCATGAACTGAAGAAAGCCTTGGCTGGCAATCACACCAGGAGGCGGGACTTTAATGCAGGCCCAGAACATGTGAAGAATGCACACGGACCACCAAAACAAAAAGAAGTACAGTGCATAAGAAAATTTAATTGAAACATAAGCAATACATCCGTATGCCTCTGGGACACTTCTAATATGTAAACGCTTCACAATCAGGGGAAACACACCCACTCACTATACCAGTGGCTCATTGCTGTATACTAGTTTTTTAGGATGTTATGTAATGTGTTACAGGAACTTTTCACAGTGTGAAAGGTTGAACTTGGACTATCTGGTGAACTCTGGTGTTCAGAGGTGGTATTGCAACAACAGGACTAATTACCCAGCCATTGGGATGTTGGTTCATTATTGACACGTTCCAGCACCACGTTCAGAGACACATCGTACAGGATAAGGACTAATTTCTACAAATGTGTTTATTTTACAACAGTATTTACCATTAGAACATCTTCTGGGTTCAGAATCAGCTGCTTGACTTGTCAAGCCTGCCATTTTACACAGTCCCAACCATGCCTTGCTGAGTGGACTTTTTTGCACAACAGTGCCCTCTAGTGGCTGGTACTTGTAAAGATAAACCAAGTGTTGTGCCCGACAAAATAAAAATTTCATTGTTTATCTTTTTAAATATCGCTTTAAAAGGAGAAACTCTACATTCATTCTGCACAC